CACAGGGTTTCATTATCCTCCTGGGTGACAGTGTGGAAGGGTGAAGTCAGTAAAATGTCAGGGTCTGTTCGCCACCTTACTCCTTTCCTGGCCGTCCACAGCAGGGTATTCATAAACAACTATTTGCTATTTGCTAGTAGGTTGCAGGTGGTGTTAGCAGGAGGGACATTGTCATTCTGGTGTTTGAATAAACAAAATTTGGAGACTGTATTGTGCAGTTTGATTTATGAATATTTTAACCTGTTTTCTCTGAAGAAAAATACTGTAAAAATATTTAGAAGTAAACTAACATTGTCGGCACCGATAGCCTCGTGGGCAGCACACCGATATACAGCACCATTGCGCTTCAGGCGTCCCGAGTACGAGTCCTGGCTCTTGGACCTTTCCCGATCCCGTCCCCCTCTCTTTCTCCCACTTTCACTTCCTGTCTAGCTACTATCCTATCATAATAAATGAAAAAATGCCAAAAATAAATCTTTAAAAATAAAAAAGTAAACTTGTCTATAATTGATGACCTCAAAGTTTTATTTTATTAAAATCGTTTTATTGTCGTTAATTTTTTATTTTATTTGATTATATTATTGTTTTTGTTATTTTAATTTATTTTGTCTTATAATTTTTTATTTTGTTTTTATTTCATTTTTTTTTGTTGTTTTTAATAATAAAATAAATTTTTCATTTTTATTTGTTATGTAATTTTATTTTGATTATTCTTACTAATGCATTATTTTTTAATTTATTGTATTTTATTTTGATTATTCTTATTAATTTTTTATATTTTTATTTTATTTTATTATTTGATTTGATTTTAGACTAGACTCAGTTGAAAAGATTTTCTGATATATTTAGAGTGGCCATCTTTTATATTTCTTTGAGTGACTGTCACTACAGTTGCAGTCATTATTAATGGTCATCGCAAGAGGTGCTTGACTTCGGTATTCTTTCATACAAATGCTGTTTGACCCGTTCTTGCAAGCTGTCAAATGAACAGGCCAAATCGAGAGTCACACACAGTTGTCGATCCTAAACGCTGACCGTGTGAATGCAGTCTTTCTCTCTCAATCTCAAAAATATGCAAAAATAGCTGCAACTGTCCCTAACCAGATGTATAAAAGCAAGAAAATGAGACAGACAAGAAAGAACATTCGGTCAGGAGACAAAGGAAGGGCGAGACGATCAGTACCATCCCGCTCCCTCTACCGTGTCTTCCTCGT